TTTCTACAGATGAAAAGAATACTTGTAAATTACGATTTCCACCTTCTTGAAAATTTTTGTTTGGAAATTTACCTCCAAGAGAATTATATTAAGATTGATTAAAATCCTTTTGTACAACAATCTTGTTTTTAATAAGACTTTTGTTCTCCCCATACAAACTTACAATTTACAATATAAATTACTTGGAAAATTTGTAAAACAAAATCTAGCTAAATTATGCTACAAGTTTGGATTTTGCGGTGAAAGCTGTGTAGAAAACAATGGCAGAGAGCAACGGCAGCAGCCGTTTCTGAATGGCTGAGTAGCTTTCCTCATCATACAGTTTAACATTGTAGTCACCTGATCGAGCTTTCTTGATATCATCAGTCCATGATGCCTAAAAAATAGGAAAATATTTGTTTTATCACTACATTTCATAAAATTAATTTTATTGGAAAATTTCAATAAAAATAGCTATTAGTCTTTGTGATTTACTTTTCTCCAGAGCAGGTAGACATACATAATGATATCCTGACTATGATCAATAATCCTCTCTCTTTAGATGATACAGGATCTGTGACTTGCAAAATCAAAAGACCAACTGGAGATTCCAGCGATATATTTTTAACAGTTTTATGTACTCACATTGAAATTTTGATAGTTCCACTGGCTCAAGTATTGTCCGAGAAAAATGATACTATTTTTTATATCTTCTGGCTGCATTACTGGCTCCAGTGTGGCGCAAAGATTCCATTAGAAGTCGTGACAGACAGAGGCAAAGCTTTGCAGAATGCTGTAACAGAAGCATATTCAACTCAGTGAACTTGACTACGCATAATGATGTGGGATTGAGAATAGCAGCAGGAGAATCCATAAGTATTGTTGCCATAAATATGAGTTGGAAAAGTGGCAAAAAACTAGTAACCAACCAAAACCAGTATTTGAAAGAAAAGTTGACTTAGAAGCTCATCTCAGAGCATTAGAAACTTGGTACAATAAAAATAGAACCATGCCCTTACCAAATCTGCATATCGTTTGGAACGATAAGTTTTCTAGTTTAGAACAAGAAATTAATAATTATTTAGAAAATGGGGTTACGTCGTGTACTAATTGTACAAATGTACATGCTAGCTATCAGTATGCATTAGGTCCATACCTATGGATAGATTGTGATGATGCCTATACGGAATCCACATATGCCAAAATGCACAAAATTGATGCAAAAAATCTAACTTCAGAATTAAATGAAATTCCAGAAAAATTGGTAATAAAAAATCAAACATACTTGCTATGTGGAGTAATAAGGTATTTACCACCGGTAACTCCTAGTGGTATTGGCCATTACGTTGCTTTTTGTAGATCAATTAATGGCAGATGGAGAGAGCGAAATGACCTTCTAAAATCATGCAAACTATATTGTAACAATACTTCACCAAGTATGAAAATAAGTACCATATTTTTTGTCAAATGTGAAATATGATTCTCTACTACTATTTTTCTACAATACACTTCCACAATAAAAAAATTGTTTAATCCATACTGTTGTGATTTCACTCTATAATTTCAATTATTCTTTTAATTTTTGATGTTGAAATTGCTTTAATTTTACCTTTTGGAGCAACAATGCAGGAGCAGCTGGCAGTACTGACGCCATAAGATTTGCTGCGTCACTAACAGTCACTAACTGATCTTCCATCTTGCTACTGCTGAATACATTGACGTATGCGCGGATTACGTTTTTTGAATTAATCAAACGTTAATTATGCTTATTACACTTTTTTAATAAAAAAAGAATTTATATTTCAATTATTTACTGCGGGGCAAATTAATTTGGAAAGCGAGCATTTTTTTGCGGTCTTAAGATTTAAAAAATATCGATATTTTGTAAAGATATTGTTAAATCAAATTAGCTAAAAATTTTTTACTTTGATAATTTATTGCAATTCAATGCGAATGGGGCAAATTATTTGGAAAACGTAGATAAACCGAGCAAAATCAGCTTAATCGGAAAATATAATTTTTTTTTAAAAATAGAGCATTTTCTGGGCTGACCTGGGGGAGGTGGAAATTCTTATACATGGCGCTACTTCTCCTTTATACAGTCTCCATGGGCTGACTCATGGAGACTGTATACAGGAGGCGAGGCAGGCCTATACCGCCCGTGTTAAAGCGTTCGGCAAACCCAAGTCACAGTCCCAAAGTAATTAGCCGATTTTAGCGCTGCGTGCGGTAGTTAGTGAACTACTAGAAGACTTACAATATGAGCGCAGCTTATCGACCATGGAGACGTATACCGTTTCCATGTTTTCGACCATGGTACTGTAGGTGACGAAGATAACCCGCACGCGAATATCTTTTTTTATAAAAAGGGATAAATTAATTTTATAGAAAATAAATACTGTTTTACGATAAAAAAGTCTTGCTATTTTGTTCTTAAATGTACATTTTCAAAGTTGAGTGAATAATGTTGAATTTCCGATCTTGAAAAAAAAATATATATATAATAACTAAATTTTTCGAAAAAGTTTTAGAAGTTTGTTTAAGTGAGATTGTTACATACAGGCACACACACTTAGAATGATTTTCAAGGTCATTTGAAGGTCACAGTGATTTTTTGAATAGGAACTCCTATTTTTAATTCCGGATTTGGAATAACGAGAAATTCTACGTTTAGATGAGGTATTATGTGTGGGGTTTGATTGATGATGATGTTCCCGCATATATTTAATATAAACAATTAAATAATGAATATAAAAACTGAAATTAATATTTTGACTATTTGCGTAGTTCTTTAGATTTTAATTTTTTTGCACATCATAGACAATATTGTGTCGCTTGCACGCCATTTTCATTCGTCTTTCTAAATAGTAAATTATGAATTTGTATGTTAATTTTATTACATGATCTGTACAACCAACAAACGCTAGAGAGTTCGTTTTTATTATTTTTTGAACAATGAACTGCATACTATCTCTAGTCATGCCATTATTACACTCAATTATAAAGGTCACACAATTTTCAACCATCTTAATTAATTCAAAAACATTGTCGCTAGACTTAATTAAGCCACCAAAATTCTCTAGCATTTGTAAGTTGATGGCGTGCAGCATCACTGGAGAACGACTCCAAATGCAGATTGCAATTTTCGCACTCGTTGTCTAAATGTCGCGTCTCCCAATCTAAAGAAGATAATTAATTCATTTTTTTTTGTCATTCAAAATCAAAGTAATTGCCAACATTTAGTTTTTACTAAATTTAAAACAGGTGACAATTACTAATAAATTAAAAAATAATTATAATTATTGTAAATTTTTATGTTAAAAATCTATGCTTTTTATACAATTGAATTATGACTTTCGTAACAATATTTTTCTATTAAAAAGATAATTATTTTACACGATAAAAATTTCGTGGATAGTTGACAATGACCACATTAATCATCGTAACTATCATTAAAGTTAAGTATATCGAATGTTATTTATTATTAGACATTATATTGTTTAATAAGGAAATATAAAAACAAAAAAAAACTATCAAATTATTAAAATCGAGTGATCGAAAAGCGTATTCTACCATTTCAAAAAAATAACAAAAACGATATATTGCAAGACTTTTTCATCGTAAAATAGTATTAATTTTCTATAAAATTAATGGATTCCTTTTTACAAAAAGATATGCAAGGGCGGGTTATCTTCGTCACCTACAGTACCATGGTTGATAACATGGAGACTGTATATATCTCCATGGTCGATAAGCTGCGCTCATATTGTAAGTCTTCTAGTGGTTCACTAACTACCGAGCGCGGCGCTAAAATCGGCTAATTCCCTCCGAGAAAAAGAGAAAGTTGCCTAGATAAATCGACCTCCCTTACCCCAGCCTGCAAAGTGTAATGGACAGTAAAAATAAAAAATACCATTCGAAACATCTCTAATTGAACCCTCCAAAAATGCTCATTATTTTAATTGAACCCCTTCAGTTGTCCCAAAAAAAATTAAAAACTATGATAATTTTTTTGTTTTTTGTAACTGCGATATCTTTAGTAATACTTAATATTTTTGTAAAAGAAACAAGGCAAAAAATTGAACCTTTGCTCGTTTTAATTGCACCCCTCTCGTTTTTTCAAAATTATTAATATATATGTCAAAAACAACAATCTAACTTTATTGTATGTTCTTTTCAAATAGATAATTGGGTTATTGGGTTATTTGGAAAGAACATACAATAAAGTTAGATTATTGTTTTTGACATATATATTAATAATTTTGAAAAAGTGAGATGGGTGCAATTAAAACGAGCAAAGGTTCAATTTTTTGCCTTGTTTCTTTTACAAAAATATTAAGTATTACTAAAGATATCGCAGTTACAAAAAACAAAAAAATTATCATAGTTTTTAATTTTTTTTGGGACAACTGAAGGGGTTCAATTAAAATATTGAGCATTTTTGGAGGGTTCAATTAGAGATGTTTCGAATGGTATTTTTTATTTTTACTGTCCATTACACTTTGCAGGCTGGGGTAAGGGGGGTGATAAATCGTCTCTGCCTCGCCTCCTGTATACAGTACAGTCTCCATGGGCTGACTGACGACTGAGAATCTTGGGCATAGTTGTATAAACGATATAGATGAGATACAACTTCATGAAAATGAAATTTTTTGTAGCCTCATCGGATTCTCATCACTGTAAGTCTATATCATTTCTATGTAATACATTTCTATGACAACCACATGAAAATACGGCACAAATTTAATTACTAATGACCACAAGGGTTTTCAACTTTTGTCATTTTTTTATTAATAAAAATTAATATTACTTTATCCTTAGCTAATACTATCTGTATTGAAAAATAAATTAAACTAAATGATAATTAAACAATTAAATAATATTAACATAAAATAAATGTTATTATAAGCAGAAAAATTAAACAATGTAATTGATCAAGATAATATATTTTTTAGAAAAATTATAAATATTTAAACTGTTTACAACTTACTATAAACAATTTGTATAAGAGAAGAAATTTATTTAATGCAAGGAGAAATTTTTTAAGCTTTTGAACATCTTTTTTACTTTCTTTATAAATTAACATAAATTTTAGCAATAAATGTGGTATTCATCAAACTAAAAAAGTGTATCTGATTTTTAAATGATACTTTACAAGCTACTTAAAATATTTGTAAATATTTTACCTAACTCTACAAATTTAGTTCCATATATTTATTGATATACATGTTAATTTTGTAACAATTAGTATTATTCATGGATCATTCTTGTTACGTTACTTTTCAAAAATATTTCGTACTTTATTTTATCTAAAATTGAAACACAGGCTTGTTCAATTTCATAATTTTTAGAGACTAATCCAACCCATTGAGATTCCATTTCTTTTAATTTTTGACCTCCTTGTATTTGATTTGCTTTTCGCTGCCAATTAATTTCTTGTATTAACTTTCTTAATTCTTGAATTTGTTTTTGAGAGTTATTAATTAATCTTATCAAAACATTTAAATATGATTTCCACATTTCAGAGCCATATAGTACCATGAGTTGTAAATTGTTGATTCTGAAAACAATATATTCATATATGTTTCTATATTTAAAAAATAATCTAAAATAATTGTCAAATTAATTTTCAGAACACATAATGTTACCGTGTAGCTTGATGTTCTAGTTGCGCAAAACTGTTCTCTACACTTTCATTCCAAGCTATGAGATCACTCATTTTTCCTGGTACAGGTGGAGGTAATTCATATCGTTTCATACTCAAAACATCCATTGGAAAACGATTTTGTAATCTTTCAAATTCATTTTTAACAATTGCTGTTTCAAAAATATTTATTTGAAATGCAGGTAAATTTTCTAGATAATTTTTTGTTGGTCTGTACCGTCTAGTTTCTTCTTCAACCATGGCAGTTGCCTATGAATAATTAATTTGCCTTTTCATTACAAAAATACTAATTTATATCACCTAGAAATTACATTTATCTTTTGAAATCTTACATACAGCTTCTCTAACTCCCGGTTCATCATAACCTTGATCAATATATGGCAAAGCGTCAACCAACTCTTCTCCAGACATTACAACTGTTTTTTTCTAATCTTTCAAGAGTTCTGTTTTTTTATCACAGACACATTCAATTATTAATGTATTATTATATTTAATACTTATAAATCATTGAAAAAAGGAGCAGTATAAAATACAAATAATGTCTAGAAAGACCCTTTTGAAAAAAATAAAATAATATTTGGATGTTTTTGGCCAAATCTGTAAAAAGAAAAATCAATATTTCTTTCAAAAATATAACAGGAAATGAATAACTTACTATGCTAATTACTTTAATTTGATGTATTCAGCTCAGTCACCTGTAGTAAAAAATGAGAGTGGGATAACTGGAACAGGATCAGCTTACCTCCCTTACCCCAGCCAGCAAAGTACAATGGACAGTGAAAAAAAAAACCATTCGAAACATCTCTAATTGAGCCCTCCAAAAATGCTCATTATTTTAATTGAACCCCTTCAGTTGTCCTAAAAAAAAATTAAAAATTATGATAATTTTTTCGTTTTTTGGAACTGCGATATCTTTATTAACACTTAATATTTTTGCAAAGAAACAAGGCAAAAAAATTGAGCCCTTGCTTTTTTTAATTGCACCCCTCTTACTTTTTCAAAATTATTAATATATATGTCAAAAACAACAATTTAAGTTTATTGTATGTTCTTTCCAAATAGTTGGGTTTGAGTTTAAGCTTACTAGATGGCGGTGGGTCGCTTAGCTGATACTCCGATATGCCAAAACGCATGTATTGACCAAGGAGAATTCGTAGTTTGAAATTTAAATAGTAAGAGTAGTTTATAGTTAAAGTTGATAAATTTAATTCTATTGGTTAGATAGATTTGTGAACAGTGTAGGATTGTATAAAGAAGGAGGATTGGAAGAAGATACATATTTGTTTAGTGATTTGGGATTTATTTTAAATTGAGAGTTTGTTGAGAAATTCGGTTAAGAAGAGTCATGGGGGTTGAGAAGGGAGCTTTAGTATATTGATAGTTGTAGTTACTGAGGAAGTTTTAGTTTTTTGTGAACATTTGTTCAGTTTTTTTATTAGTACCCGATTAGCACAAAACGTTTTAAAAACGTATAATAAACGTTTTCTGGTAAACTTTTAAGCGTTGATGACTTTTAGTGAAAAAAACGTTTTTAAAACGTTTTTAAAACGTAATATATTTCCACGATTATGTCCAAATAATACGTTTGGAAAACGCTTTAAAAAAGTTTTGAAAATGTTTTTCATAAACATTTATACAATAGGCCGGTATCACAATACATTTTGAAAACGATTTAAAAACTTTTTTAAACATTTTCAAAACGTTTTAAAACAGGTGCAATAACGTTTTATCGAAAATTTTCTATAATAGGCTGGTATCAGAATACGTTTTAAAAACGTTTTACAAACGTTTCAAAAACATTTTTTATAAAAATTTATACTACAGGCTGGTATCGGAATACGTTTTGACAACGTTCTAAAAACGTTTTTAAACGTTTTCAAAACGTATTACTCGCGGACATATGTTACGTTTTAAAAACGTTTTTAATAACTTTTTCCACTAAAAGTCATCAACGTTTAAAAGTTATCCAGAAAACGTGTTTGAAACGTTTTTAAAACGTTCTTGTGTTATTGGGTTCTCTGAGGTAAATACGTAGGGCAAGATCAAACATTATGGTTAATGTCTTGTATTGGAGATCCACATTGACATGAGGGGGAATTTATAAAGTTCTTTCTGTATAGACTAGCTGTTAGAGAATAGTGGTTGTTTTTGAGTCTGTTAATAGAGGTGATATGTTTTCTATGAAGGTAAGTTTTGTGGAACCATGGTTTAGATTGTGTAGATGAGTAGTAATTATGAAAGTAGTGAGATCCTTTGCAGAAGTCGTGATCTAGTACAATGGATTGAAAAGATGCTTTATGAGAGGGTTGAATATTTTCAAGAAAATTAGTCGATGGGAGCAGAATTAATGTGTTAATGTCATTTTGATCTACTGTTTCGTTATGTGTGATTTGAGAGTGGGAGGGAATCCATAGTGAGTGAGTGTTCTACTGTAGGATTTTTATATGATTGAGATTCATTATTATGTTATTGTTATTGAGAGTGATTTTGTTGTTTTATAAATGTGATTATAGTGTTTGAGAGGGTAAGATTGAGAAAGTTTTATGGTGGGAGTTGCGGTTTTATGGACGGTTTCGGTAGGAAGGTATGCGGATTTTTTTCATGTAATGTTTTTCTATTAAATCTACGTATTTTTATAGGGTGAGAGCCTTTAAAGTGTATAGGGATATCTACGTTTTGAAGAATCTCTTTTTCGGTTAAATTTGTGGGGATACCTTTGAGTATGCCGTTTTTATAAACGAAGGAGTGAGGGACTACTGCTTCCAAATTATATATTTTTAAGATTTCAATATCATTTTTTAGGAGTTTATTTGCAATTTTCTTCTGGTGGGTAATGATGATAAATCTATTTTTGCCTGAAGATTTAATTTCATCGAAGGCATTGTCTGGAAAAAGGGGGATGTGTTTATCGGCTAATTGGACAGATTTAATGGTAGTGTCGTTATGTTGTGGTGATTGGAGGATGATTTTATATGGGGGAAGAATGTCACTAGTGTCTTCAGAGATTTTCTGTAGTTCCATTCTATGAGATAAATTGAGTTGGAAGGGAGGGTTATTGGGTGAGTTGTTTATGTGTGGGAGTTTGTTTCTGTTTATGTTATCTGGGAGTCGGTAGGTAGGTGTGCGGGGTCTTTTTTTGTGATTTTGTTCTTCTGTTGTGTTTGAGGGGTAGGACGGTCAGATGAGTAACATTTCGGTGTCATCAATAATTGGTTGAGTACGTGAACTCGGAGGGGAGTGTAAATTTATGTCAGGGGGATCCATATCATTAGGGTCGTCCATGTTGATTGATGACAAGAAGTTGATACCTTTCATTGATGATTTGGTGATTGCCACAGAAACAATTGAAGAAAATTTAAATATTCTTCAATCAGTTCTAAGACTTGCAGCAGAAAATCATTGGGCCCTCGTTCACTGCCCAGTCATATAGAGAGGGCCTATTGAATTTGATCTCAGAAAAGTGGTTCCGTATAATTAGGAATTCAGTTTGACTTGTTAAACCAAGACTTTTCCCACAGGGTATACGTATCCAGCCATCCTGGAAATATGTTCCGTCCGTACGGACTACCCCAATTTCACTAAATTTGCTACTCTACTGGACAATATCTTGGTTTTATATATCTAGATTATCATAACTTTATATATTTCTTACATTTTAAGCTTTCAACTGTATTCCATTTTATATATACATAAATTCAGAATTTTATTGTATATATAAAATCATATTATTGAATTAGCACATTAATTCTTAATATTATTTCACAAAAAGAGTCCATATGATTGGAAATAAAAAATTCAAACTACGGATATTCCATCAATTCATATCACTTCATATTACTTTGAAAAATTGTATATTACTATGATTCTAATTAATACAAAAAACAAGTAGTTTGAAAAATATTAATAGTATCAAATAAATAATGTTCATCGCAAACATGGCAAATAACTCATTTTTTTTTCATATTAAATCATTGACTGCATATTAGTATGAGAAATTGTCCATATTCTCAAGGTACTAATAACAAAAAGTAATCTGATTGTACTTATAATTTTATTAGTTCATATCAATTCAATGGTAAAGAAAGTATATTGTTTCATCATATAGAATGTGAGGATAGTTGATCCATTAAATAAAAGGGAATTTTTCAAGTAAATTTAAAAAATCAATTGTGAGCTGCTATCGTTATTATTAATTATACTACTATTTTTTTTCAAGTAAATTTGAAAAATAATTTGTAAGTTGCTACCATTTTTTATTATTTATACTACTATTTTGTACGGTCATTATAAATGATAACAATATTTAACTAAAACTCACTTAATTTCTTAATTAATGTTTTAATGTTTATAATCAAATGGCAAATCATAATAACTCATGTTTAAAATTATTTTCATATTAAAATCTTTGACTGCATATTAATTTGAGAAATTTTCCATATTCTCAAGGTTCTAATTACAAAAAGTAATCAGAATGTACTTATAATTTTATTAATTCATATCAATTCAGTGGTAAAGAAAGTATATTGTTTCATCATATAGAATGTGAGGATAGTTGATCCATTAAATTAAAATGTAAGGGAATTTTTCAAGTAAATTTAAGAAATAATTTGAGAGCTACTATCGTTATTATTATTTATACTACTATTTTTTTTCAAGTAAATTTGAAAAATAATTTCTAAGCTGCTACCATTATTATTATTTATATTAATATTTTGTACAGTCATTATAAATGATAACAATATTTAACTAAAACCTCCTTAATTTCTAATTTAATGTTTATAATCAAATGGCAAATATACCTCAATAAATGTCGATCACCGAAAAAATGACTTACCAACTTTAACTACGTGTTTTGTGAATAAACTATATACATCTGACAATGGATTCACTTTATTTATAGGTATAAACGTAGGCAATATCAGTATTATAACACTGTACAAATCACCGAAATATGAAATAACAATTTTTAAATCAAATATTGAAGAAATTATGTATTTAGTTAATAAAGAAAAAACAAAAGAATGCATATTAATAGGTGACTTTAACATAAATATAAAAAGTAAAAATACTTTAACTAATAAAAATTTCATCCAATTTATGTCACAGTTCAAGCTACACTTAGTTACACCAACAAATATTTCCACCACCGATTATAACACAACAATTGACTTATGCTTCAGTACAATAGATATCGACGTAAATGTATACGAAAGTATATTTAGTGATCATAAACCACTATGGTTTACAATTCCATAAAACATAAAATATTGCCAATCATTCCATAACTTATATCACTTTTCAGAATACAATACTATATATAATTTGGCTTGTACATAGATCTAATCAAATTTATAATTTCATATCAAAACAGAAAGTCATTTTTTATTACCAATTGTTTTTATATTAATGAAACATGTCTTACAAATTTTAAATATAGAAAGATAACATGAACTGTATTTGTTTTAGAATCACTATTCATTTCAAATAAAAATAGACTAAACTCAGCCTGTCATTAGTTACATTACTTTTTTGAAAAAATGAATACGTAGCAAATATGATATATAGATATAGAACATATAATTCACAAAAAAAGTAAAACAAATACAGTTAATTTATGTAGTAAAAAATGACTTTTTTGAAAAAAATGCAAAAACGGTATTTCTTATGAAAATGAATAAAAAAAGAATTTTTATAAATGGATCAAAATGATATTAGATTAAAAAATCAATATATGAATATTACAATGGTAAATGAAGACTTTAATTTTTTAATTATTGTA